TTGAGATGATATCCTTGGATTCAATGGACAAACTACTAGTAGCAACTAGACATGTTTTTATTTCCAAGAATGCTTGTAATGAGCTGGTCAAAAAATTCATAGGATACAGGGTGCTAACAATGGTAATTATCATTAATAATATAATATTAAAAAATCTACTGGATATATAACTAATATTAAATTGTTTCAACAGGTTTCCATTAAATCCTAATAAACGTACAGGGTGAGGGTAAATCAAGTGACCACGAAACGTGAGGAAGCAGAACCCCAATCACGCTTCTTTCTTTTAAGCTTGGAAAGGGTAAAAAATCTTTAAATATTTTGTGAAGTTGTATTTATGAAATGAATGCGATTTTCCAAGTCTGTTACTCCATTTGTTTGACAATAATAAGCTTTTACACTTGTGAATTGTAATAGTTGGTGGAAGTTATGGTTCTTAAATATTTAAAAACATGATATTTAAAATTAAGCTAACATAATATTATTTCAACAGGATGCATTTAAACGTATTAAATGAACAAGGAAACAGAAAATAAGAAGGACTGAAAGTGGAGAAGTGGAGCCCTTTAATTTTCCTTCCTCTTGGGCGTGAAGGTGCAATTTTCAGAAAATACATGCAATCCAGATTACACGGATGCATAAAAGGAAGGTTGCGGTGCGATGTGTGGCTTATCCCACTTATTTCCTTTCATCTGCATTTACTATTAAGAGGCATTTCTCTTTTGTCAGCACATGGAATAAAACTCGAGCACGTGTAGTGATCCTCTAGGTGAGCTATTGTTTTGAAGTTACTCAGTTTTCATAGTAATTTGCCACCTGTAACGTCTATGGTTTTACTTCTAACAGTTATCTATTGTTCACAGCATAAATCGATGTTATCGTGTATCTATGGGGTTCTCTTTTAACTATCTATTGTCCAGTGTATAAATTGACATCATGCATCTGCGGTTATTTCTATTGCCTTTAACGTTTATCTATGACATGAACAATGAATAAAGTTGACATCTCGTCACCATTTTATAATTTAGGTGTTTTACTTGCGTCTTTGTGCATGTTTTACTTAATTTAAATCCATTTTTTAATTAATTGTGTAACTAATACCATTTTTTGTCCATCTCTCCAGATCGTCTGACAAATGGGAGAGAATTAAAGTTCAGGTTGATGGTACCGAAACAATATCTACAATGTTTGGTGGACTACATTCTTGATTTGCTGTCTTCGTCTTCACCTTGCAACATTATACAGTCAATTTCCAAGTGATGAGTGAGGGCAACTGAAGATTTATGTGAATTCCACTGAAATAAGAAATTTTCTGCATTGGCATTCCTCTTGGATTTGATTTGCTTTTCACACCTGCAAACTTTGGAACATTACGGTCTACAGTTAATTAAGGTGAGAATACTTGATATAATTAATTTTAATTGCTCCTTATTAATCTGTTACCACCGTATCTGTTTCAGATCGACGTTGGAGAAGACAAAGATGACCCCTTAGTTAAAATAGTTCTCTATCTTGCATGCTCTGTAATAGAATTCAAGTTCATTTTATTCAAATTAGTTTTTTACTTTGCGTGTTTTTTTTTCGTAGTTTATTTCATTTGAATTAGTTTTTAATTTGCATGCTTACTTTTGTTCATTTAATTTGAAGTAATTGTTGATTGTAGATGTTTTTATTTTTTTTTTGTATGTAGTAGTAGTGTAGTAGTAGAAATAACACGTTTAGTAGTTGTAGTATAGTCTAACCTTGCTTACCTCTTCGCTTAGCTTACTGCATATTCTTCCTAATTTGCTTTGCATTTACCCTACGAGTTCTACATGATTCAACGTTTCGTTATCGTGTGTGTTTCTTCTCACCCTTGTGGAATTAGGGAGGGCCTCCCCGAACGACTTCCCTTGGGCTTAGCTATTTAGTTGATCTTAAAAGTGTCTTATACACTTTTCGCGAGTCTACTCTAGCGT